TTACATGCTGCATGATTTAATTGCTATGTCATTCCCATAAAGACAAACCTACAGTGATGGAGAACAGATCCGTGGCTGCCAGGGGTTGGGGAGGTAATTACAAAGGAGTCACACAAGGTAGTTTCTAAGGAGAATGAAACTGTTATGTATCTTGATTGTGGTGGTGGTTATATGAATCTATTGTATCAGAATTCAGAGAACTGTAAACACACACACACATATGCACACACTGTCAATTTTACCATATGTTAATTTAAAATAAAACTCAAATAGGATACACTGTTGTTATAATATTTGAAAACAATTTGTATCAGGATAAGTTCAAGATTCAGAGGCATCCACTAAGATTCAATGACATGTGATATTCCTTTCAATCCTGAAAGAATGTGATTCCTTGAACTTATATCCTCCTAAAAATATATCTAGGTCTTCCCTAATCATTTCTATAACACTGGAGAAGGTGTCTTTATCAAGGGAAAAATGCATGTGTCTTATCTTTCTTAATATTGGTTTGTTACTTCAGTGAGAGAGATGTGTTCCAAGCTTAACACACCACTCAGTATATCAACAGTCAATGAAATTAACAGTAAATTGTACCGTGTAGAAGAGGTATGGAACTTGCTACTCTTGAATTTACTTCCTAGAGAATGAGATTTTAAAACCTTCTTTAAAAAAAAAGAGGTGAATTTTTTTCTGTTAATAAAAGTGCCAAAGGAACACATAGGTACAGCTAAATCTATGTTCTTACTTCTGCACTCTTCCTCTTCAGCTCTCAATTAAAACATGATTCATTAGAATCTATGTGAGTGTTTTCAAAATTTGTCATGGTGATCTCTCACTAACTGGGGGTGGTGATAGGTACCTTCCTGAAAAGTGCCTTGTTAGCTAAAACCTGGCAAGTTCAAGGTTTCACAGAAAATAGGGAATTTACAAGAGAATAAAACAATAATATTGGTAATAAAACAGAAAAGACTATTTTCCTTCAGTTGCTCATGAGCTCATATCCTGGGAGCCATGATCTGCTATGGAAGATGGGGTTTATCTTATATTAACCACACTTCTTTTTGAAAAAGTTCTTGATGTAGCCCTTAGTATATTGATATTTAATGCTTTCTTGCATTTGCTTTCTCTCTAGTACCATTTTTGCAAGCCTTGGCAACATTCTTAGTAGCCAGCTGGTCTCTCCGCAAAAGAAGGGCATGGTTTCTCCAGGCCCGGCCTCCTACTGTTATTCTCTACTTGTCATATATGGACAGGGTGGAGAAGAGCAGACCTCCTCCATCTTTACCATCTGACCTTAAGATTGGGATAGGGGTGCAGATGGGGGTAGGGATAAGTGGAGCTAAGTCCTTTAATTTAAAGGAACTGAACTCTTCCAGACATACACAAAGGAGCTAAGTCCTTTAATTTAAAGGAACTGAACTCTTCCAGACATACACATTTTACAATTCAAGCATACAAATGTGAAACCACATTGTGACTAAACTAGGACGGGCAGAATGGTGGCCAACAAGGGGTTACTACACAAATCTTCTCAGAAACCTTCCTCACTTAATATTTCCAACTCTACTCCCAAACCTAGAATTCAAATTTAGCATTCATTTGTTGGGTCGCAGGGGGGAAGAAATTCAAACCAAAGTTGCTTCACACTCAGGCCAGAGAGAATCACAGAACCGTGGAATGACGAAGCTGGTAGAACTAGCTCAGTTCCAGAGGAGGTGACCCAGAAAGGCTATCTGACATGTGACAGGGCCACAGAGCCGACCCTTCCCTTTAGTATTGTCAGAATTTCTCAAATACTGTACTCAATAATCTGCATCTTGCATGCTCGAAACTATTTTGAGAGAGGCTGTATTTGTACCTGACACTCTGGACTTGGCAATACTTTCCTGTATCGGGTACAGAGACAGAATTTGGAGATGGTTACCAAAACGGAGTATCATAGACCCCCACCCTCCTATCGAATGAGGAAGAATGTCTCCGGTGAGGTTTTTAGTCGTCTCCTGTTTTTGTCTACACGTGTGAGTTCACGTGCTGGAAATGCTTATGATTCACTCAACTGAGGAAGTAGGATTATTTACTCTTTACCCCTCCCCTCTCCAAAAAAAATGAACAATCACTGTATTTCATGACTTTAGACACCACTCAAACTGTTTCCCCATCTACCTCCAAGAGTTCTAGGAAAGGAGTCGGGGAAGGCTCCTTCGACACTAGCCCATGAGGACAACATGATTAACAGACTACGGAAAGCCAGTCTATCTAGCCCAGGCAGGACTGAATGATGGATGCATTGGAATGTGGAAGGTGGAACACTGTCCAGCCTGAGATTCAAGATCATCTAGACAAAATTCTCATGCTTTCAGCTGGTTAAGAATCATTAGCATCTCTTCTGCTTTTTGCACAACACCACAGGGGGGAAAAACACTGTCGGAGGGTCAACCTCTTTGCCTCCTTTCCTTAACTGTCCCCTTTGTGGCCCCCCTCCCTATTTACCTGAGAACACAGAGGACATAAAGGAACAGGTATGGGCCATGCCTCTGGCACCGGACTCATTCAGCATTGACTGCTCTCAGAATAGTTCTGGAGTTTAAGCTTAATCATTAGCAACGGACTGGAAAGGAGAAAGGTGCATGAAACTCTATCAGGTATAGTGTTTTGAAGTTGAACGCGGCTTTGAGCACAGCCAACTTAGTATACTTGATTTGTTTCCTGTACTTCTGTGACTCAAGTTACAGGCTTTTCTTTCTTTCTTTTCTTACTTACACCTTTGTTTTGTTTTTCTGGTTCCAGAAACACTGACAATAAAAAGATGAGAAGGGTGATTTTAATGTTAGCTTGCCAGTACACTATTGTGGGGCTTCTCTAGGGTGAAAGAAGGTCTAGTATAATCTCCTTCTTAAACATCTAAAATCAGCAAGGTTTGACCTTGTCTTTGCTTTTGAAAGCCACATACTCAGTCTCTAACCAGGATATAGTGCTTCTTTTGCTCAGGAAAACTCCCTCAATTTCAGGAGCGTTTCCATGAGTTGCACATAGTAAATTTTTTTTTTAAATGTGTTGTGCTCAAATGAATTAAATTTTATATGAAGAATAGCAGCTCTGATGTTAATGACAGTCCCCAAGTGTGATAAGAAAGTTGTAGTTTGCAAAGAAAACATAAAGACAGGCGAAGTATCGACTTCTAAAATCTCCAGTCTGGCTCAGCATCCCACCTTTACCCAATGAACTAATTTCTTTTTCTTGTGCAAAACCCACTCAACGATCGAAGGGAGGAAGTTTTCCCTAAACAAATGATAAATGGGGATGAAATATAGGATAAACCTTTAGCTTTAAAAAAAATCAATAGCCCTGTGAGGACTTGCATTTTTATAAGATGTTTTAGTCTTTAGAACTCCATGAGAGCCAGAACTGTAAGCTCAATAAATGGCTGTTATTAGACAGATGGGAACAACAGCCAATATCAGTAATGGTCTTCAGTGAACTGAGAAATATCCACATAGCTATTTTCATGGATTGATCGATATTTTAAATTTAATTGTTGGTGACCATAAGGATGGACTCTTATAGGTCTTACATAACTATCAAAAATGGTTTCTTGACTACTAATCAGTTAAGAGTCGGCCAGAGAGGTGTGTTAAGAGTGAGAATAAGAGAATCAAGAAGGCAGAGAGAGAGGCATGGCCCTTCACCAGCCAGAGAACTCAGTCCCAGGCGAGGTGCTATGGTTAAAACTTTGAGAGGTGAAGTCTTCATGCAAATACTATGGGGATATGAAGGAATCCTTGTCCTCAGAGACTTCTGGAAATGAGAGAACCTCATTTCACAGTATAATAAAAATATCAGCATTACAATGGCATGTTTATTGAGTACTTGCTAAGTGCCAGGCATAGAGCTCAGCACTTTCCTGATACTGTCTCATTTAATTTTCAATGCAACTCCATGGCATGCATACTGTTCTGTCCCCATATAAAAATGGGGAAGTTGCGGCTTAGTGAGCTTAATAAATGGCCCAAAGTGAAAGAGCTAGTAAAAAAGAACAGATCATGCATTCAAACCCAGGTCTGTTGGACTGCAGTGTCCATGTTCTTGAATCCTATGGGTACCGAGACTCACCCTGATGAGACTAGTCTCTGGTGGACACATCAGGAATGGACCTATCACAACACGGCAATAATATACGTACGGTCAGTAAAATGGCTTGATTCCACATCTCCTGTCTTTGAACCATGTCTTTCCTTCCTTTTTCTCCCCTAGTCAGGTGAAATCTGTAGGAATGGAGCCTAAAAAGCCCCATTAGATAGGTCAGATTTGGGGGGAAAATCAATTAATTAAAACACTAGTTGAGAGCGGAGGGATGGATGAAATAGGGGAAGGGGATTAAACTTCTGTTTATAAAATAAGTAAGACATGGGGATGAAAAGCACAGTATCAGGAATATAGTCAACAATATCGTAATAACCTCGTATGGTGACAGATGGTGACTGTGCTTACTGTGGTGAGCACGGCGGAATGTACAGAGTTGTGGAATCATCATGTTGTACACGTGAAACTAATATAACCTTTGTGTGTCAACTACACTTCAATACATAAACTTTAAAGAAGGATTTGTTAAGCCCCTCCTATGTCCTAGGCATCCTCTCTTCTCAAGAAGTTCACATCTGATAAGAGAATACAAAAACTTAAACCCCAATTAGAATTCTGAGAGATGGATACTGTGTCGGGGCTCAGTAGAGTAAATTATGGGGGAAAACAGAATGGACACAGGATTTTAGTGTTTTTGTGCTTAGAAAATGAGATCTCAAATTCTTCTCATCCATTTTTGTTTCACTTATGTTTCAGGGTTACAACTTATTCAAACTAATAGAGAAATGGGGGGAAAAGGGGTTTTATGGAATCTTAATTTTTAGAATATTAAATACCAGCACACATTCTTTTCCAAATACTTTCAAGGGCATTTTCCTCGAATCAGGTAAATGAGAGCAAGCAAGTGACCTACTTACAGCAATAAATGCTCCAGGTTATAAAGCATGGGAAGCCAAGTGCATCCTGGAAACCACAGCATCTGGTCTTGTTTTATGCTTCATCTATCAATCTGCTGTTACAGAAATTGAGAATTAATGTTTCAACTACTGTTTTTTCCATGTTCACTGATGAATTCACATCTTTGTCATTCTCACCCAATCCCTCGCATCCTCTCTCCCATTGAAGAAAAGCATATGGAAGGGTATTGATGAAGGTCCTAAATGAATCCTAGGGAGATTGCTCTTTCATCTATGCTTTAAAACTTTTGCTAATGAGTCTACAGTGGGGTTAGCCTTCTTCCCAAGCAATTCCGTTTTGATCCATCCCGACTTTCCACAGACAGTATCATTTGAGCAGTATATTTTCAGTACCGTATTAAAGCTAAACAACAAAACACTGCAGGTTTAAAATAAATATCCAAGTGCTAGACGATGTTTATGGCTAGCATAAACTGTAAAAAAAGTCCAATTGGCAGTAGTACTTAAGAAAAAGGATTATGTGGCGATGGAAGATTGTGGTTTAGTGCAACCCTGATAACATTACAGAAGTACATATACACACGTTTTAAATTATGTGTAAAATTTTAAAACGTAAAACGCATGAAAAGTAAATTTACAACATGTTCTTTCAACTTTGAAAGAGCTGAACAACTTTGCTATTGCATCTGTTAGCTCTCTGTGCTTTTTATAGAATGGAGCTATCAATTCATCTTTCCACTCCTTCCATTCTGTTGAAATTTTAATTTTCCATTACTTTTGCCTTGTTGCCATCTTATTCTTTCTATTGGAGCTTCAAGCAATTTAATCTCGGTCTTTCTCGGTGCTTTTCTGGTTTCAGGTACCATATTCTTGCTTTACTGTTCTTTCTCCAACCATCCTATTTAACTTGTCAAAAGAAACTTTTAAAAGAACCAAGGCTACCAAGTGACTATTATACTGGCATAATTACCGCGATGTAATTCTATATATTTGTTGAAGTTCTGCTCTTTCTAAATCACTGTCAAGAGAATCATTTCTTTTTTTTTAAAGATTTTTTATTATTTATTTGAGAGAGCGAGAATGAGAGAGAGAGAGAGAGAGAGCACATGAGAGGGGGGAGGGTCAGAGGGAGAGGCAGACTCCCTGCCGAGCAGGGAGCCCAATGCGGGACTCGATCCCGGGACTCCAGGATCATGACCTGAGCCGAAGGCAGTCGCCCAACCAACTGAGCCACCCAGGCGCCCAAGAGAATCATTTCTAATGAGCAACAAATAGGGTCAGGTGTAATGTGTCTGCTTATCCAAAAATTTTAGATTTGTTTTTCCTTTCAAAGAGATTTTATTCTGAATCTCAACGTGAGACTCCCTTGCCTTGATTTTTTGCTATACATCATCTGACTTAATGGTTCAGCTGACCAGACAGGCTTTTGGAGCTGGAACATAAAAGGTTTTTGTAAAAATACATCGAAAATCATCACTGACTAGGGCGCCTGGGTGGCTCGGATGGTTAAGCGTCTGCCTTCGGCTCAGGTCATGATCCCAGGATCCTGGGATTGAATCCCGCATCAGGCTCCCCGCTCCTTGGGAGCCTGCTTCTCCCTCTGCTTCTCTCTCTCTCTCTCTCTCTCTCTCTCCCCCCTCTGTCTCTCATGAATAAAAAAAAAAATCTTAAAATCATCACTGACTAGGGCAGTTTTTCCAAGTATCCAAAACCATCTCAGATGCTTATTCAAAATTCAAATCCCCAAAACCTAGAGCAGTTAAATGGGAGCTTCTAAGTCTATACCGTAGGAATCGGCATTTTGCCAAGTTGTCCAAGTGAACAGACCCACAATGAAATCGGAGAACCCCTAATCTAAGGAATCCCTTCCCCTTCAGGGTCTAGTGCAAAGATTCACCTTGGCTGTGGAGCAAATTAATCACACTCCCATCCAACTAACAAACGTAAAGGATAATTCAGTTCCAAGTGGGAAGAACTGCCTTAAACTGTTTTAGGAGGCATTGGTAAAAAACAAAACAAAACCAAAAACAAAACAAAAAACCCAAAACCCAACTTTCTATAATAAACGTAATAATTATTTTTAATATCTTGATTCTAACAATCACAAGGGGAAGGCCCAGAAAGTCTACAAAAAATCTGTTGTCATAATTTCCTGATTAATGTTATACATAATGAATTATTTATTGAGCCCCTACTGTGGGCCAAATATGGTGTTTTGTGCTGCCAGGAATTATATAAAGCTATCCTATGATGAAAAGCATATGTTCACTCAGCTCTATTCTGGAAGAACTTAGCTGATCTAGTGATAGCTGGAAATGAACGTGCATGATATGTGAGAAGACAGTAATTTGATGTCTTAGGACGCAGACATAAGAGGCTTCTTGAAAATTTGCTAAATGAAAGTTAGGTCCAAAAGGTATAGGTGCAGACAGCAGGTACTTGGTTTATAGCCAAACCACTGGAAAAGAAATGAGCAGAGAATTTATTTGGGGGCACACAGACTCTTTATGGCCAGTCTTGCCTACTTTACCAACAACTTCCTGTACAATCATACTCCAGGTGAATTGAGACTAGATGCAATCATATCGGGAGTTCCACTTCATTCTAGAATCCATATAAGATGTCCCTAATAGGGGATCAGCTCCTCATGGTTTGCCTAAGACTTTCTCTGATTTAGCATCCAAAGTCCTATGTTTCAAAAACCCACTTAGTGTCAGACAAACTGGGTAGACTGGACACCCTGGTCCTCAGCATAGGCAGCGGAGGTCCTTGGTACATTTTCACTCAGTGAACGATGAAAGTCCATTACCATCTTGAATTTCTCAGCTCATTTTCCTTACTGGTGAGCCGATCTTAGTGGGCCACCTAAAGTTCTTTCCTTCAGTAATCTCTATCTTTTAGCTCTGTCAATGCACGCTCCCAGGAGCATCCCAAGCAATGACTCAGACTGAGGATAAGTCTGAGGATAATCCCAGGGAACCAATGGAGAGTCTCTTCCAAGACTACTTTCAAGACTACTGAGCAACCATGGTTTCGGTTTGCTTTGGTTTGGTAAACTGTCCTGGTCTTATAATCATCCTGTTCTTCCCAAAGTTCTATATCCTCTCTAAATAACGAGTCTAGTTCTCTTAAACCTAGCTTCATATCATTCAGTATTAAATTCCATTCTGATCCTTGTTAATGAACCCAATCATAGTTTTTAAAATATTACACATCCCTGCCATCCCATCCTCACCCTTTAAAGACTTACGACTTTGTCATTTCATGGTCTTCTTTCAACTAGACTTAAATAGAACTGCTATTAAATTACTATCTCAAAGAGAAAGTGTAAAGGGTAGGGTCTGAATTAAATTTGGTTCCAGTGAAATTTGCCTATTAGGTACATGAACTTAGGAAAGTTTTTCTCCTTAGGCCTCAAAATTTGCTCGTCAATAAAAACAGAAAATCACGGCTACTTAAGAGGATTGTTTTTTTGGAGGAATTTGGATTATGGATGTGAAGCACATAGAAGCCGATCACGGGACACCCAGCAGGCATCCATAGCATACACTAACTCCTACAATCAGGCTGCAGCATTTTAGACATCAAAGACGATGTCTAAAGCAGAAAGGCACAAACTGCCCTCCGGAGGAGGTTAGTCTTGCCGCCTCTACCTGAAGAAAGCGATGCTTCTTCTATCTGGAAACAGTGGGGAGTATCATCTCGCCCCCTGGCCGTCTGTGCGTTCAGGTGGCGCTGGCTTTCAGGTTTGCTCCCTTGGGACCTCTTGTGTCACGTCTCTCATTCTGGAAAGGGGAAGGTGTAGAAGAAAAAGGGAAGTCACTGAAATGCAAATCCTGCTACCAGATATCCTATTCTGTCCCGACTGCCGGTCCTGCTTGGGTGGGCTGCAAAGTCGTTTCACATGGCTTTCAGGCGCCACCCCCAGGTGTTTGTTAGCGCGGAGACGGGGGAGGAGGGTGAGCTCACCGTAGAAACTGAAAGGCAGATGGTGAGGGGTGGGGGGTGGCCATGCGCGTCAGCGCTATGGCTAAAGGACAGACAGAACAGGAGCCTGCGGGTGTGCACGTGGGGTGAGGGGCGAGAGGCGGGCGGAAGGCTGAAGGAGGAGTCGGGGAGAACTCTGCGGGGATGCACAGCATTTCTTCGCACTCTGGAAAAGGCTCCCCGATTTGTCAGGGTCGCGCCCGGAGCCCGCGAGCTCGGCAGGGACCTGCTGTGATTAGCGCCCTCCCCGAGCCCATCTCAGTAGCTAAACTCCGCACCTCCGCGAGGGCTCTAAGCGGCCGCACCTGCTACACGTAAAACGCCAGCCCCCTCCGGCCGCGTCACCCCCGCACTCCGCCTTGTCTGAAACCCGGAAGCGCGCTCTCTTCTTGCCGACGGCCGTGGGCGGCGCATGCTCCGTGCGAGGGGGCGGGGCACGGCCTCCGCCGGAAGCACTCTCTCCCAGGCGGCGTTTCCTTCCCGTGTGAGGCTGGCTGAGGGCTCCTGCTGCCTCAGTGTCCGCCCCGGGGTGAGTAGCGGGGTTCTCCCGGGCCTCGTGGGACGAGCGCGGGATCCCGCTGAGCTCCCTTGGGGACCGGCTGGGATCTGGGAGGCCGCGCGAGGAAGGTCACCGCGCCTTCCTCCCACGCCCCTCTTCCGTGCAGCCCCCCGGCTTTCCGCAGCCCTGGGTATCCGGCGGATTAACCTCCAAGGGCGTCCCGGGCCTGCCTTGGCTTCCGGCCCGGCCTAGGCCCTTGGGTCTCCGTTAGCGCTGCCCCCCTCCGCCATTTATGCGACTTGCGAGGGACTCTCGCTAGACAGCCGGGTCGCCGCGGGGGCCTGGGGACGTCCCGGGCGACCTCAACACCGGGGGTCCTAGGCGGAGGCGGCCGGATGGACCCGGCTGTGACTGTCGCACGGGCACTGCCACTACCTAGTGCAAAGGCGGAGGGGGTTCTTCAGGCCCGGGCACGCCCTCGCAGAGGATGGTGCTGTTAATAATAACCTGTCCTTTATGGGAAGGTTGGCAGTCATTGTCACAGGCTGTGTTCCTAGGGCCTTGTTGCCCTCGAGACTGGGACTTGGGGGTTGAGAAAAACTTTTCTACAACCCTGCAGTGAATTAGAACAGAAACACCATACTCTCGGTCCCTAACCTGTCAGTAGATTGCTCACTGACGAGGTGGTACGATTTCTAAAGTTTTCTATCCTGAAACGGAGAACTCTTTAAATGAAACTGTCTGGTGTCGTGTTTGCCTAACAGATAACTATGCATTGCAGGGTTTTGCCATATTTCTTAGTTGTACATAATAGCGTCTGTACGTTTGTACATACTTGCGTATTTTGTTGATTTTTTAATTTTTATTTATACAAGATTGAAATACATTCCGTACTGCTGTGTGCACACGCAGCTTTTGTTGTGTATTCTGCTGCATTGCCACTGTAACGGCCTTATATTGCAGGTGGGTCCGTGTCATATGAACGATAGATGAGTGGACAATAAAGTGTATACGGTTACAACCTACAAGTAGGAGTTTCGGTTTCATTTCAGGATTTTAAAATCATTGTGAAAGATGCACTACTGGTTTAAACATGGCCGTAGGTCTAGAGTACTCTACTGCAGGTACTAATTTAAATATAGGAAAATGTATAGTTAACAGGTTTTATGTCTTGAAATTTTTTATAGGATTAAAAATTGTCATTGTCTCGGCGACTGGGATGTACTGAAACTTGCCCTAGTTGTTCATGCAGTTCCGTGAACATCCAGTAGGTGGCGGTTCTATCGCTGCTAACTCAAGCTTTTAAATAAATGGAAATGTTTTATTGGAATAGCACTAGGTTTCACAGATTAAGCTAATAAAACCTTGATTTTTGCCTATTGGTTTATTTACATCAATGAATAATATCCCTGCGTCATGATATCACATCTTCCAGCTGAATTTTCAAATTTACTCTGTTAGAATGAAGGCTTACTTCTAAGTGGAGTATTGTTAACTCATCTTTAGGAATCCATGCTGATGGATGAAAGCACACTTGAATTTGTTGCATGAGGAGAGAGTTTAATTAGGTGGCTTTTCCTCCCTAGCTCCATTTATAGAGATATAATTAATAACTGGACTGTATTCCTTGAGGACAGTAATTGTATCTTGACCGTTATCGAATGCCCAGTATATAGTAGGCATTATAAATACATGTTCAATAGGTGCTTTATGGTGTGAATTAAATCACTTAATGTCCCTAGGTCAAAGGTTCTTCATCTGAAATGAAGGCTTTCAATTATTTTGTTGTTAAGTTAAATAACGTACTATTGTGAAGTAAATGGCCCCTCGTAATGGAGAAACGTGGAACCCTTGACTTTTTTTGGGAAACCGTTCAAAGTCTGGCAGCAGTTTTGTTGGAATGATTGAGTGGGAAGTGTTTCTGCTATAGATACATATAGATTCAGATAATTACTGAATAACGTCTCTTGTATGTGACAGATGAAGAAGGTAAAGTTGGTTTTTGAAGTTTGGGTAGAAATTGACTAATCCTAGATGAAGGGAGAGAAATGACCTGTCCCAGGGTACCAAATATGGTGGAGGGAAAATACACATGGCATTTTCAGATACCAGTGACTCCAGCTATTGAAAGTTCTTACTGAGAAAATGCTTAAACGTTACTCTTAAGGTTAGGTTAGGATGGTCTTGAACACTTGGAAATCCTGTAAGTAAAAGGAAAGCTTTGAAGTCTTTTTATCAGGGAGAAGTATATACTCTTGAATGGAAGGGGGGAGGTATCTAAGAGGAATTTAAAAATCGTTGGAGCTATTCCAGAGGGAGGGAAGTGAAGAAGATCTTTAACTGAGTAGTAGTAGTGACAAGGGAAACTAATTTTAGTGGAGGACCATAGATACGAATCTATGCAGTTCCTAATTTTTACCGGTTGCTGAGCCATCTGTGCAAATTCTGATTTACTCCTGTTCACATGAGTGCAGAATATATTCTCTCTCTTTTTCACATAGCATAGCACTCAGCATAGTCCTATGCCATGAGAGGAAGATGGCATTACTAGAATCTAAGATCCTGTCTTCCAAAATGTGACAGTCCCATCGTCCCTAACAACCGTATTGTTCTGGGTAGTTACTGCCTTATTGACAGGGGTGTGCATGCCTTCTGCAAGCCTGTATGTGACTGAGCTGGCTGCCCAGAGATGTGGGTAAAAGTGGGCACGCTGCCTCCTTTCCTCTCCGTCTTAGGCGACTACTGTGTTGTGGTTCAAAAAGGTTTGAAGATTCTAGTGCTTCATATTTAGCTGGGTGGTTGGAAACAGGATGGCTCAAAATATTTAATGTCACTTATTAATAGAGAAAATGGCATGTTTAAATTTAAACAGGCCTTGAAAACCTGAAAAGTAAGCCTAAAGAAAAAGCGAATCTGTTCAGTTTCAGTTTCACTCAAAAATTGCCTGTTGTACATTGTACTTAGAAGAAATTCTTACCATCACATTAGTAAATTATTTCATTGTCGGGCTGCCTTTCTTCAGTTGGATTGGTGTTTTGGTCATTCTATCTCTAGATTTTCTGAAATAGTTATTTAAAAGCTGTTTAAAAAGAGTAAATACCATAAGATGTTGACTGTATTATTGCAGAATTATTGTCTGCTTAAATTATATGAGCTTTAAGGAAAATTCATTTAAAAAGTTTAATAAACCTCCCAGTTTTTAGTATGTTCATTTTTCCTTAAAATAAGACACTTTAAGGCAGGTAATGTTGAATTTGACTAGAAGTTAGGTTTCTTGCTAAGTTTAAGCTACTTATCAGTCTCCCAATTGTAATGAATCTAGTTATTACTTAGTGACATTTCTGTTTGTCTTTTAAGGTTAATCAAGATGGTACATGCTGAAGCTTTTTCTCGTCCCTTGAGTCGGAATGAAGTTGTTGGTTTAATTTTCCGTTTGACGATATTTGGTGCAGTAACATACTTTACAATCAAATGGATGGTAGATGCAATTGATCCAACCAGAAAGCAAAAAGTAGAAGCTCAGAAACAGGTATGACTGAAATGTTTGAGGATCATTTTTTCTTGTAGCTAGCTAGTATTTTTCCATTAAACTAAGGATATAGTAGAATTATAAATTAATTAGAAGTTCTCTAAGACCCATGTGAAAATGTGTTTGAATGTCCTATTTAATTTCATTATTCCTAAAAAAGTATTTGTTTTTCAAATCTTTTCTAACTGTATAACTTATCAGGATAAAAGGGGTGAAAAATAAAGATATTCCAGTATTTTGTTGTGAACGTCTTCATTAGAATATTTTTGTCAGCTAATGAATGAAGGAATCTAGGTAAAAGATTTCAACAGACTAAACAAAAACAACTTGAGTAATGGTATGCATTTTGCTTTGTAGACATTTGAAATATGGGTAATACTGATCAGCTGTCAGTCTTAGACTTGGAAACTCACTAGTTTCCAATTAAGAAATTGCTAAATATTATTTTTTAATATAAGTAGTAGGTTTATTTATTTATTTATTTTTAGTAACTTCCTCTTGTGGTCATTTTCTTACGAGGATGATATATCTGTTTTAGTTTCTACTCTTGCTCAAAAAAGTAAAAGCCTTACAGGAGCCTTTCCAGTTTTTCTTGCTGTTTGAGGGCAAGATGTTTATATTCATTGATTTTTAGATTCCTTCTGGGTGTTGTGACTGTGATGCATTTAGTAAACATTTACTGAGCTCCTAGCAAATTCTTGGTGCCAAGGATAAAAGATAAATAAATCTTGTTCTTTCAAAATGCTATATGCTAGTGTGGCAGACCAGGGTGTAAATAAGTGAGTGCTTTACGGTACTATGCATAGCTCTTAAATCAGTGAAAATCACCATTTTGTGACTACTGCTTACTATTTGTATCCGAAAAGCAATTTGAACAGTTGTGAGTTTGTTCCCTGAATTTGATTATCCAATAGTTGACTCAGGGTCTAGATTTTATCATAATATCACTCAGTTTATAACTCTCTAAGAAGTCTGACCAGTGCAGTGTGTGTGTGTGTGTGTGTGTGTGTGTGTGTGTGTGTGTGTGTGTTAAGTATATCCATGTGTCAGCTGAAGTGCAGCTTTTCCTGCCACCTACACAATGCAAGTCAGTTTGAGTCTGAGGCCAAAGTATTGGTAAGTCATACCATTTTCAAAAGTTTTAAGGGGCGCCTGGGTGCCTCAGTTGTTAAACGTCTGCCTTCGGCTCAGGTCATGATCCCGGGGTCCTGGGATCGAGCCCTACATCAGGCTCCCTGCTCCGTGGTTCGGCTCAGGTCATGATCCCAGGGTCCTGGGATCGAGCCCCACATCAGGGTCCCTGCTCCGCGGGAAGCCTGCTTCTCCCTCTCCCACTCCCCCTGC